GAGGAGGAGGAGGAGGAGGAGGAGGAGGAGGAGGAGGAGGAAGAAGAAGAAGAGCTAGGGAAGGACTCTACATACTCATCAAAGGAAAGTCCACCAAGATGACATTTCAGCTCTTAACATCTCTGCCCCAGACACAAGGGCACCCAAGTTTGTAAACACTACTACAATTTAAATCAGAACAAACCCCACACATTAACAGTAGGGAGACTTCAACACCCTAATCTCACCAATGGACAGGTCATCCAGACAGAAACTAAACAGAGAAAAAGTGGAACTAACGGACATTATGACTCAAATGGATCCGACACATATCTACAAAACATTTCACCCAAACACACAATTTACCTTTTTCTCAATACTTCATAGAACCGTCTCCAAAATTTACTACATATTTGGTCATAAAGCAAGTCTCAACAAATACAAGAAAATTTAAATAACCGCCTTCATCTTACCAGACCTCTACAGATTAAAACTGGATTTCAACAACAAAAGAACAACAGAAAGCCTACAAATTCATGGAAACTGAACAACTCTCTACTGAAAAACCACTGGGTCAAGGAAGAAATAAGAAAGAAATTAACTGGAAGGTTCGTGGAGGAGGAGGAAGAGGCGGCCAGAGACCGTTACTCCGCACTGGGCCGGAATCCGTGTCCATCGGTCCTCCTGAACCCGTGCAGACGTCGCCAAGGTTGCCATGCCTGAGAACGTAGCTCCCAGAAGCGGGGCGCCCGCCGCGGGGCAGGGCAGCCGCGGGAAAGGCGCCTACCAGGACAGCGACAAGCCGGCCCAGATCCGCTTCAGCAACATTTCCGCCGCCAAAGCAGTTGCTGATGCCATTAGGACAAGCCTTGGACCCGAAGGAATGGACAAAATGATTCAAGATGGAAAAGGTGGTGTGACCATTACAAATGATGGTACCACCATTCTGAAACAAATGCAAGTATTGCACCCAGCAGCCAGAATGCTGATGGAGCTATCTAAAAGCTCAAGACATAGAAGCAGGGGATGGGACCACATCGGTTGTCATCATTGCTGGCTGTCTCTTAGACTCCTGTACCAAGCTTCTGCAGAAAGGTATACATCCAACCATCATTTCTGAGTCATTCCAAAAAGCTTTGGAAAGGGGTCTTGAAATCCTTAATGACATGTCTCGACCTGTGCAACTGAGCGACAGAGAAACCTTACTAAATAGCGTGACCACTTCATTGAATTCAAAGGTTGTCTCTCAGTATTCAAGTTTACTCTCTCCAATGAGTGTCAATGCGGTGATGAAAGTGATTGACCCAGCCACAGCTACCAGTGTAGATCTTAGAGATATTAAAATAGTGGAGAAGCTTGGTGGGACAATAGATGACTGTGAGCTGGTAGAAGGGCTCGTTCTCACCCAGAAAGTGGCAAATTCTGGCATCTCAAGAGTGGAGAAGGCCAAGACTGGGCTTATTCAGTTTTGCTTATCTGCTCCTAAAACAGATATGGATAATCAGATAGTAGTGTCTGACTATGCCCAGATGGATCGAGTGCTCTGAGAAGAGAGAGCCTATATTTTAAATTTGGTGAAGCAGATTAAGAAAACAGGATGCAATGTCCTGCTCATACAGAAGTCTATCCTAAGAGATGCGCTTAGTAATCTTGCATTACATTTTCTGAATAAGATGAAGATTATGGTGGTTAAGGACATTGAAAGAGAAGACACTGAGTTCATTTGTAAGACAATTGGAACCAAACCAGTTGCTCATATTGACCAGTTCACTGCTGACATGCTGGGTTCTGCTGAATTAGCAGAGGAAGTCAATTTAAATGGTTCTGGAAAACTGTTCAAGATAACAGGTTGTGCAAGCCCAGGCAAAACAGTTACAATTGTCGTGCGTGGTTCTAACAAACTGGTGATTGAAGAAGCTGAGCGCTCCATTCA